CTTTTATTATTATATATTATATTAACTTACCCGGTAAATTATTTTCCTATATATTAGGAATATAGTCTAGGTCTAGCCTTAAAGGATATAGAATTATTTTCGCGGAGTCTATTAATAGTACTAGCTCTAAGAAAGCTATCGCGGAACTTCTATAATCTAATAGAATATTATAGGAAGCTAGTATATTTATTATCACTAGGGGTCCGATATCTTTCGTTATTCTAGGCCGAGTAGGACTATAGATATTATTAATCTCGAAGTTAAATATATTCCACTTATAAGTTATACCGGTTAGTAGCGGTAACTATCCTAGAGGTACCTTATATAGTCCTAGACGGAAGCCGAACCTAGTAGGAAAAGACTACTAGAAATATTATAGTATATAAGCTAGAGCGTAATCGGGGGGCACGCTTTTTACACTAATAGAAGATAGCGGGCGACTTAGGCTATAGTAGAACTCGATTTAATTAAGATTTACCCTTATTTCCTAGAAAGTGGTAAGATATAGCGGAGATAGATACCGATAGATAATAAAGTAATCTTAGATAAGAGTATAGCGGTAACTAGGCTAGTATATCTATATCCGTTCTAAACTATATCTAAAGAATTAAAAGAAGGGAGTTTAGTTAGCCTTTTTAATACCTAGGCGCCGCTAGAGTATTATTAGCCGGGAATTATATAGTATATCGCCTTAGAGACCCTATATAACCGAGAACTACGATACCACTACCTTATTAATACTACTCCTACTTACGTCGGGTAATCACTTAGGAGTATTCCGGGCGAATTTAGCCGACCCGCCTCGTCGAAGGGCGCCTTAGATTCGTAGTACCCACTATATAAGGGCGCCTCTTTCTTTAACCTATAACGTTATAGCCTTTAAGACACCTTAGCTAATATTTAAGGGATTAGGAAGGGATTAATAAGAAAAAAGTCCCTTAATATGAGCGGTAGCCTATAGTTCACTAATCACGTAAGCCGATTATATAAGCTATTAATTTTATAGATGATTATAATATCTTAGCTTAGCGCTAGAGCTCCTTAAGGCATTTTTACGGTTAGCTAGTGAGCGAAAGCGGGTCTAATAAGCGACTCACTAATGATTCTTAATCGGTAGTCGGTTAAAAGAGTAAAGTGGCCGTTTTAGGGCGCTACGTGGCATTCGCGAACCGAAGCCTAAGATAAAGAGTGGCGAGTAGTCCTCCTATATTACTATTTATATATCTAATTATTAAGTAGCCCGAAGGTGATTTATATACCGGTTAAAATAGCGACCGTCTATAGCGTATAGTATAAAACGAAGAATATATTAAGCTATATAGAACTAGGAAATCAAGGGCGATCCGGGTGACTCGTAGGTGAATTTCCGCGAGTGGGGAAGTAGGCTATACTCGGGCGTAGAGTTTTTAGCTGGTAGGGGCCACGTCAGCCGACTAGGGAATAGCGCCGGCGAAACAAAATGGAGGGGGAAGGGGGGGAGGGGTGTGGGAAAGAAGAGAGTTATCGTTGAGCGACGCACCGCGGCTTTATATAGATAGCGGCCGTCGCGAGACGGGCGGTGGGAGACGGCAGATCCCGATCGGGGCTAGCGTTGCGCGCTAAACCCGGTACGGACGGGCTAAACCAAAGGTGGACGGGCGCGATCCCGGATCCGGCGCCGGTCCTATAGGCGCTAAACCCGAAGGAGGGGGGCGCCGAAACGGGCGGCGGCCTAGCAAATCGTAATTCTACTGTTCTACTACCTGTATGGTCACGTGATCTGGCAATTGAAAGCGGTGTGGTTTTTCCCCTTGAAAAACTATCTCCTAGGATCGGTAAGGCGGTGTGATCGAGTAAGACTTAGTTGATTGGATCTCGGCGGCCCGCCCGTGTCACATATAGGGTCGCTATCGATTGGCAACTAGTATGTCTATAACACCACGCCGGACCTACCGGGCAACTTATAAGAGCTAAAGGCACGTGACGAACCTATCTATGATAATAAATTGTATAGTCGTAATAGGATAAGACCTCGCGATGCGGACGGCTAGAGGTTTAAACACTCCGCCGTTTATGGTATAAAGGCGACAAGGTCGACGGTAGAAGACGCGGAGCACGCGTCGTAGTCCGATTCGGCGATACGACTCCCTATAAGGATATTTCACGGGCGGCGATAGGCTATTCCTATCTATAATGGTATAAAGATTAGTAATGGCGTTCGTTATTTAGCGTATAAAAGTTTGTATAAATAACTGGATATAGCGCGGTAGAAGGCGCGATATATCACTTTCCTTACTAGGAAGAATGAACGTTTTAAAGCTTCTATACGGCGAAGCTCGTAATCAGTTGTTCGCGCCCTATTATTGGCCCGCTCCTTCGAGTTATATTCTTTACCTAGGGTATGCTATATGGTATGAAGTGATAGGACAAGGTCTGGTGTAAATGCTATGGCTTTATATAGTAGTAACGGGCTGCCGTATCCTCGGGGCCACTCTAGTGCGATGTCAATGGTTCACTCTCATATATTAGCTTATAGACCGGTGAGATAATATATGACTTATATGTTCTGTTGGCAAAGTCTAGGGATGAAGGGACGATAAAGAGCTATAGTACCCTACGCGCGTGTATTGTGGTTGACTGTCCTCGGTTCTAGATCGCCTCGACTTCAGGATTAGTAGAACTTAAGATAGGTCAAGCTAATATTCATATACCTACGACGTGGTATTCGCGCTTTTACCTTATCGATACATGCGGGGCTGTCCAGTAGATCAGCTTAGTCGGCTGGGGCGGAGAGACATTAGGCATCTTCCCCTAACCGTTTGGACCAGCCAGCCTAAGTCTTGTCTCTTTGATCGGCTGGCTAGTTATAAAGTGGATTTGCTAAGAATAATATCTTCCATAGGCGCTGCCTGGCTTGCTGGTCCAGGTTGTATACTATAAACGTTAGTATAGTACAAATTTCAGTACTGGGTCAAAGGTAAGAACTTATCAAGTGCCTCAGACATAAGACTTGCTTGACTCTGCGTCGTAAAATGTGAATAAATTGTAGAGCAGATTGCCTAGGGGTAAAAGACGTATTTATAGGCTTCTCGGCCCCTCCTGTTTCGTAAGTGCTCTGCTTGCATGGCGGGACACCTCCTAGTTGTAACCTGTTGAAACCCGTGTCACCTTTTCACCGCAATTATCTCCAGCGATAGCTGCTTTTGCCTTTAAATGCTCAGCGAGAGAGACTAGTAAGAGTGGTGTTGGGAAAAGGGATGCTAAGTCGGTTAAAAAAAGTTGCCTGACTGTTGAATCCACGGCCCTCTTGAACTGAGGCCTTGTGGAAGATATTCCGTCTGCAATGATAGGGCTTATATTTCGTGTTGTGATCAATCTCATCTGTGAGCGACTTAACGTTGAAACATCGAAAAGCGCCTATATTCTTATCCCTTGAAATGGACCTTTTTGCCTGGCCTCGCTTTAGTGTTGTGTTGATTGTGTTGAGCTGTGTGGGTCTATCCGTCTAGACTGCAGAAAGCGAGGAGGCCACGGTAGGATGTGCGGGTGCTCGACCCGTCAACCCGTTGAAGCTTGACTAAACGTTCGTTGTCAACACTCAATTTTTGAAGTCGTGACAACGTTTTTCTGAACATCTTTTTTTGGTGACTATAAGTTCTACAATACTGTTTACCGAGTTTTTGAGGCTTTTAAGGAAAGTGGAAGGGGTGTCTAGTTGAAATATCTCTCACATCAATGGGCGTGCATATCCGGCCCTCAACATCGTCACTGTTGTGATATGAGGCTGGTGCAGATCAGGAACCAAGCCGCTCCGTCGGAATCATCTCCGAAGTGTCTATACAGACGACCAAGTTGATTTCCAATCAACTTGGCTCATTGTTGTATATATAGGCTCATGTATCCCTCTGAAATAACAAGTCAATTTATACTTCTGAACAACAACAATGAGGCCAAAATTGCATCCAGGGTTATAGTAGGAATTGATACTCCTCTACTACCTTAGAAAAGTGGTAAAACTATAGAGAAAGACTCTCTATATTCTCACTATCTATACGGGCCTTTTCCTTAGGTTTTTGGATAAGGTAATTGATAGTAGGGGGTAACCTTTAGATAAAACGGTATACCTAGTTATGACTAATAATATAATCCGCACCGGCGCGTTCTAGTAGCCGATTTATAGTGTTTTCAATCTCTTCTAGGGTAGGTTCGATTAAACTACTATCTAGCAGTTTAACCTAGCTTATAAGTGCCGCTTCTTAAATTGGATTAAGCGCTTTGGTACGGTCGGTACGGTCGGTACGGTCGGAATAAGTCCCACGACCATGAATCCGAGCGTATAGCTAAGAGTACGAAACCGAGAATTCCCGCGCTACTAGAGCGATTTTTGGCTTTTTTCTAGTATGGTAGGCTTGTACAGCCTTTTGGATTTCATCTTCTGAATTTTTGGCTTTTTTCGGCATTGTAAAGGGGTAGAAAAATGGGTAGGAAAGTGATAAAAAAATGAAGAATTTGTGTTTAGGGGGTTCTTTGTGTTTTCGGGGACGGACCCATACCTGGAAAGGTATGGGGGCGGTGTAGAGGACGGCTAATAAGAACTAATTTGGTCTTGGATATATTCTCTCACCCTTAGTCCTTGCTCTTTTTTATTCTTAATTTTTTTTTCTTCATCTTTAGGAAACACTGGCATGTCTTCTGCCAAACTGGAAGAGCAAATCTTATGTCTTACGGAATTCTCCCCAACAGACAGAGCGTATGTTAATTCGGTCATAAATCAATTTCGAGAAACTAAATTTCAAACAGACCAGATACACCTCATCTCACTTTTTCTCTTGATGCGAGACCGTGGTTCCTTATCGATGAAGACTGCTACGAAATTTCATTTACCATCACACGTGATGAGAATGATACAGATAGGCGACCGTGTGTCATTCAATGGGACCCTATCAAGGACGGGTTTGGACAGTCAGGTATAACACTGCTCTGTCGCGAAGCGGATAGCTGGCGACATGTCCAAATCAACCCACGTCGGTTGTCCACGAACCCCCTCCACCCGGACGTGTCCACAAACGCAGAATCTTGCCTGAAGCAACTTGATCCAGGCACCAGCGTCTCCTGGAAAACCAAATTGCCATCTGTATTTTTGGATGCCCTTTCCCCAAGAAACTTCTACGAGATTCTTTGGTGCGGTGGGAAAATTTCGTTATGGGACTGGGGAACATTGGCAGAACGTACTGCTCGTGACCAACTTATTCCTAAATCCCCCGAGATAATTCTTCCCGGTGGCGCTTATCAAGAAGTTGAAGTCGTTGAAGTCTTTGAGGAAAGTGATGATGAAGACTGTGTGTATAATTTACCGTCTTCGCCCTCATCAATTTCCCCATCTTCTCGCAACAGTGATGCCCCATCGTTCACGGTTACAATTACTGGGCCTGAGACGCTCTCGATCAAAGATAGCGTCTCTGACTCAAAGCTTCGATGTCCTGTCACGGTAAACGTATCATATGACGGACCTCAGCATTCAATGGGTGACAAGAGACCGATTACATTTCTGACTTCAATTTTTAAAATCATCGATAATCGCGTTGATGGATTTCGACTCTACGCTAAAGATGGGGATGAATGGAAGGGGCACGAAGTGAACTATTTGATATATCGCCATGCTTACCGTTTCACGAAACCCGCGCCTTTCAAAGTTGGCTATGATGATGGGTACCATTTCCAGACCCTAATGCCTGGTGAGTCGTGGTCATTCACACGACATGTGACTGATTTCCCAAAAGAGTTTGCGCCCGGTGATAAATTTCGGTATCAGTTCAAGGGGTCTACGCTTAACTGGTGGGACTGGGGTAACTATGAAGATCACAAGGAGACCGTGGTATGGATTGAGGAGGATCTTCTCGATAGTCCTAAGGATAATGGAGGCAGGCCTGTGATTGTTTTGCCGGCTAGTAACTATATTGAGTTTACATTGATTGAATAGAAACGGGAGAAGTTATCAATGGCAATATACTCCAGGTCGCAAGAAGATAAATTCCAAGGATGAGGATGTCGGAATGAACTTTTTGTTCTATTCTCCTGGTCTAGCCTAGGAGAGGCTCTGTCTCACCCTCTCGTGGCATGCTCTCGTCTGAGGACGCACGACGTGAGGCTAGTACAAAAAGAAGCGCTTGGCCGAAAGCGAAAATAAAAGTATCAACAACTATCCATCCAATACTGAAGTACCAGGCAGAAAATGCACCTTCGTTCCAATGTCCTTTCGCCTTCTCATACGGAAATGGAAGACACCATATCCAGGCCACTGAGAGGACTATAAATGCAATGGCTTGTAACAATAGCCCTTGAAGGCTCAGCGAGTTTGGAAATGGTACGGCGAAGATCTCTTGGGCTTGACGATAAATGCTTAAGCAGCCCAAGATTGTGATTATGGGCCAAAAAAGCATGGAATGGAACCCGAAGAATAGACCCGCGAACATTTCATGGGGATCGTCAAACGGCGAGACGGCATCGATAATTAGAGGGATAACTGAGACAAGGAGAAAGCTAATATAGCTGCCACCTAGAAAGACTCTGCGGTCGCTGTAAAGCAAAACTTCAACGAATCTGCAGAAAGAGCTAGTGTTAGAACTTGGATGTACGGATACTTCTTGAGCCGAGGACATAAACTCACAATACTAAAAACAGGACTGTGGTTATGCCACAATGCCACAAGCTAAACCAGTCGCCTTTAGACGGTGGAGCATGCAGGTATATAGATCCATCAGGGTCCCATGTGTTTATAAGCCCAAAGAAAAAGATGGTGAACTGCTCAGTGGCGCTGATTAGATTCCACAAGACATAGAGCGGAGAAATTCCACGGATGCTCTTCGTGGTTTGGATACGTAGAATCTGAGGAAGGAATGAACAGGCGGTGATGATGGTCAGTATACTTGACAAGTTAGCCAGTGCCTTACTTTAATGAAATATAACAATCCATGATGTAAACATACATTCGACACCAGATAGGTGGCTCTGAGAGTGCCATGTTCGTCTCCGCGGCGTACACTACGAGAGACTGAACTGAATGACCCTCAGTAAATGTCGCTGTCAGGTGATACAATTTTGGAGGTCAGTAAGATAAGTAGCGAGTCCCTAAGGGCTGAAGTTTTTTTCGGAATTTTTGGGGGATAGAAGGGGGACTGGAAAAAGCAGAGTCATGCTCATACAGCAGACTTGCGGCGCGGCACTTTCAGGGTCCGGAGAGAGGCGCATTCAGGGGTCCGGGTAATTTCCCATTCTAGTTTAGTTTATTAATTCCATTGCAACGCTCAGCGGAGATATAGTGAAATTCGCGCAAAGTGAGATTCTCTAGCGTATGATAAAAATAAATGCTAGTTGGATTGATGTTTTATGTGGTGAACCACCGAGTACTAGCTCTTCCCAGACTTCCGAGCCAACCAGCTAACTAAACTCCGGCACGGCACGTACCCTCGGCTGTACCCATGGCCCCAAAACTCGGTACTGTGGCGTTGCCAAGCCCTATTTAGAACAACCAGGGGCCAGAGACAGAACCAACACGGATTACAAGGTAAACCGCCACGATACAACACCAAGCGCGAAATACCTCGGTACCTTTGGTTTACGCGAATATTTCATGGAAGAGCTGAAGCCGGTATTCTTGGTGAATCATTTAGACCGTCTGCTTTATTTCTTAACATGCTTTGCGTTTTTGCGCGCACCTTTTTCCTCGTGTTTGAGTTTGTTATGAAGCGGGGGCTGCGGTTATGGATTTTAGTGTAAAATATAAGAAAATAATCACGCCATCTGCCAGCGGGATACAGTGATTCTCGAAATCGCCTTGACCAGTACACTCTGAGAAACTCTTTCCTGGCCCCACTGCCAAGGCCTTAGCGTACATCGCTCATTGAGCGGGCCTCGCCAAGTTAAGGGCCGCCGTAAAATGCAGCTTCTTCCGTGCAGTGACTATCAAAGCTCACCGGCCAGCATTTCAAGCGCCTGATGGAATCTGACAGATGCAAATACAATACCATTCAAGGTGCATGGTACAACGGCCCTTAGCTAAGTGTGGCCCGCTCAATGAACGATATACGCTAAGGTCTTAGCAGTAGGGCCAGAACAGAGTTTCTCAGCGTGTACCGGTCAAGGCGATTTCGAGAATCACTGTATAGCCATCTCCCTACACTTCAATTGCTCCATTCTAAGTTAAGCTTATGTCCTTGAACCCCATAGCAATACTTTATATCAACCATAACTGTTATCACATCGCTCCAGTGGTATAGATAATTGTCGGAGTAGATGCACTGGCATACCGGCATACCGGAGGATCCATTGATCCTATGCATTTTGTAATTTTAGATTAGTAATCGGCGGCCCATATAAATTGTTAGGAAAGTCGATACAGCAATACAGAGAGTTGAACACCATTGATTGGACCCTACATTTTACAATACGGCCCACGCCGACAATAATTGGCTGCCTAAGGCACCAAAAGCCAACATCAGCTTGACTATGACTACAAAAGTCACGTGGTGGGTGATCGGAGGTAAAGTGGTGGGTGACCCGAGCTGTTTTCTGAGCTGGACTCTTTTTCAAAAGCGTACGTACTCTGCCACATCAACATCACTCACTACCTAGGCATTGCTGGCCATTACTTTCCTTCTCTCTGTTCGCATTGATACATGAGCTTCGAGAACTGCATTTTGATATATCCTCTATCTCTTCATATTTCCAGCATCCAATAGAATGGGTATCAATTGGTTGCCGTGGTCTACCCAACAAGTCCAGTCTCCCGTGGAAGGTGCGGGGATTCAAGGCTATGTGATTTATCGCACCAAATGCATCCCCCAGTCGATTACTCGATTGTCAGGAGTCACCAAATCCCTCAACTCTGAATTCAAACTTCAATCATTCTCTGATTTCGGCCTGGCACACAATGATGAACCCCCTCAGCATGTGGGGCTCGGGGCCACACAGGGTCCGGTTATAATGGCTGATCCCCTACACTTCGACCAAGGGTCAATACAGTCAATTTACGACCACTTTATGTCTTGTGCGGCGTCACAAAAAGAATTGGAATCTACAGACATATGTTGGGAATGTGTGCTGTATGATGAAATTTCACAGCAGGCATTTTCGTGTGCTCCACTGCCAGACACAGAAGAAAAGTTCGGGGCTGGTACAAAGAGCTTGTACATCTTGCAACATATGAGAAGGTTTACACTGCGCTCAAACTCCGACTCTACCGACTCGTATGATTCTTTTATGGGTGGGGAAATATTGGACGAGCAGGAAATTGAGTATATCCCCCCTAAGAAGGGAATGGCAGCATCCTCTGATTCCGAAGATGAATATGACGGTTTTCTAGGAGGATATATGTGATACCTAGTTGAGATGTGTTAAAGTACATGAAGGCGAACAGAAAGAAAGCCACATATATTATTTGGATATACTTGGAAGGAAAATACAGCAAAGTAAATATGGAGGCTATGGTGTGATATTCAAGGCTGGACTATTATCAAATTTCTGCTCGGACAAATACCTTGAATTTTGAGACCCGGTAAATTGAACCCTAAATACTGAGCACGGGTAACAAACAGAACACAAAGGAACCGGTCTCAATTAGTTCATTTCAGGGGCAATCCAATCACTGACCGAGCGTATACGATTAAATTCAAGTTGCTACATTAATCCGTGGCTGCTACGGAGAACTCCGGACTTGGGTACTTCTTGGTGGAGCCTGTATGTCCAATGGCTATCTTAAACGATGTTGGGTTTCAGAAATGAAATTGGGGCCGTATTCTTTCATTAATGGATAATCTTATGGATACTTAAGAAGCTTGGGATGCCGTTTCTAGATTTTGATTATTAGAGTCTAAACCCAACATCTACAGAGACCAAGATGGCCTCATTCAATTGGGATTTCTCTGGATCTCGCGGTTTCTCACAACTTGTTCTTCTTTTGTTGATATCTTTTGTAACCGCCTCAGTCATTCCTGTTTCGAATTTGAATGTGGAAAGGCAACTGTACAAGAAAGACGACAAGCCGTTCCAGCTTAGAATCTTGCCACTTGGTGCTTCTCTTACCTATGGATATCTCTCTGAGAGCGGAAATGGCTATCGCAAACCTCTTCGAGATCAGCTCAGGTTTGATGGCTGGGAGGTGGACATGGTTGGAACCAAAGCCCATGGAAACATGAAGGATAATGTTTGTTACCCACCCTTCTAAAATTGATTCTAGTCTAACATGTTGAACCTGCACAGGAATGCGAAGCCCATTCCGGCGACACCATTGATACGATCAAAGAGGCAGCACAGAAGTCTCTGCCGTACAAACCAAATGTCGTTCTCATCAATGCTGGAACAAACGATTGCAGATTGGAAATCAAAATTCCCGAGACTGGGGATCGCTTGCGATCCCTGATCAACACCATCATTAACGCCGATGGAATGGAGAAAACAACCATTGTTCTGTCTACTCTGATTCCGTCTGAGGAGAAAAATACGAAAATTCACCGCATTCCGGTTAATGAGCAAATCCGTGACCTTGTCAAATCTATGCGTGATGACGGTGTCAATATTGTTCTGGCGGACATGGATCCTCCTGCGCCTGCTGGTGCCAATGGGTGGCTCACATTTCCTGATGGCTTTGACCACGACGGAACGGTCGATGATACTCATCCTAACGACTATGGCTACAGTAAGATGTCTCGCATCTGGTACAATGCCATCAACGTGGCCCATAAGCAGGATCTCATTGAAGGACCTGGGGTGATGTCTACGTCTAATACTTGTGACAAAGAGTATGGCGATGGTATCTACGGTGGTCTTACACAGAAGGGTAGTGGCGAAGACGATGGAATCTACTATCATTCTAGTGAATCCAAGGGTGTCATCTTGGAGTACGAGATTGACAATGATGATCCCGGATATACGGGTTTCATGGGTTTGTTTCGCAATGATCGTGATGATATGATAAGAGCGAAAGAGGTAAATGAAGTGTGGTTACATACAGTGTGGAGGAACACTGGATCGGACAATCCTCGATTTAAGCAGATGGACGGTTATCTCGATTTTGAGGACGGTTGTCACCCTCGTGGAATACGCTGGATTGATGTCAACGGCAAGTCATTCCTAACTACTGGGTAAATATCCTATCTAACATCATTACAGCCGACGGTCTGATGGATTTTGTCTGCATCGCAAAGGATGGAGCGGCTTACGCAAGTATCAACCAGGGAGACGGTGATGATACATACCTTCCAACATTCAAATCCATCGGTTTATGGAAGGCGGCAGTACCTGGATATGATCAATCCCATGTTGTTCTCGGTGACATTGATGGGGATGGTCGAGGTGATTACTGTGTGCTTGATGGTAATGGCGATATGGAATGCTGGCGCAATGGTTGGATCAGTAAGTAAATTATTGAGTGATTCCTTTTGCATACGAGTATTCCGGAGTTCAGATCATTGACTGTTAGCATCAATCCAGACGACAGCCCCAAATACTGGCAATCATTGGGGAAAAGATTTACCGGCAAAGGAATGGGTGATCTTGCAGGCGTTCGATTGGTAGACATCAATGGAGATGTAAGTATACTCCGGCTTGTGCCTACCAGGACAGAGAATAAAGATGGATTATTGAAAGAATACCTGCTAATGTTATGTTGCAGGGCCGAGCGGACTGGGTGTGGGTCGATGATGACGGAGCTGTCACAACATGGACAAATTCTCGAAGTTGCATCAAAGGAAAAGAGGGTGACGGTCTCAATGTTGTCTGGCGTCAAGGCTTTCAAAAAGGACACAGTTCGGGGCCGACCCACAGCGGTATGACTGGCTTTGACAAGGATCAAGTCTCTCGAGATAGGATTCAATTTGCAAGAGTATACGCAACCTCGCAGGACTTTGGCCTGCATAGTCGTGCGGATTATTTGTTCACCGAGGCAGACGTGGGAAAGAAAACGACTACAATTAAGTGGCACGCATTCAAGAACACTGGAAGTGGAGCCACCAAGATCAAATGTAAGAGTGCCCACATGAATCAAGCATGGAAATTTACTAACATGCCCCAGCCGATGGCAATCGTTATTGTAACATGATGGGACACGACAACGGTATGATGGACTATGTCTGGATTCTATCCAAGGGTAGTATGCATATATACCCAAACAAAGGTCTCAGCAGCGCGCCTGACGATGGCACAAGTTTCTGGGGGCCCAATAAGGACATATTCGATCCCCACACCACCGGACCCAAAAAGGACCTGAGCCGCCGAGATCTTCATCTCGTCGATTGGGATGGAGATGGAGCCTGCGACATTGTCTGGACAGACCCGGATAACAAAAACCGTGTCAGTTTATGGATCAATAAGATCAAAGACACTGGAGACTTCAATTGGGAGTACCATTCAGACCCAGCTTCGGAGCTTTACTGTCCCGAAAAACGTGGAATGGGCCAATTCGATAACCCGGTTCATATGGCCGATGTCTCGGGAAGTGGAAGAGCTGATTACCTTTGCGTTGAAAAGGATGGTCGGTCTTGGGGATGGACTCAATCTGAAACCGGGTCTTGGGAGTATATTGATCAGTTCAAGTTCGCCGAGGGAATGGATCGTGCCAATCTTCACTGGGCAGACGTCAATGGAGACGGAAAAGCAGACATGATTCACACCGACAAGTTCAATGGAGATGGCTCGGTCTGGTATAACAAAGGCCGAAAGGACATTGGAGGGTCCCGCTACTGGTGGGATCCTGTGGGCAATAAGTTTCAAGGTGCTGTTGAGGGCTCTTGTACTTATTTCCCAGACTTGGATGGAAATGGCCGCGCTGATATGCACTCAATAATCCACTCAATTGACAACACTGCGAAAACATGGTTCAGTCGGTGTGGTCGCGCGGACAAGACGGGCGATGATGGACCCATCGAGCACCCAGATCTTCCTGTTATTCCTGACGCAGGCAACATTTACAACCCCAAATTGACTTGGGGAGGCACAGGGAATTCTGTGTGCAGCGCGAGTCAAAAGCCACTTATCTTAACGGAGTACCGAGGCGCACTTCAACTAGCTGCAGCGGCTGAGAACAATCCAACGGGTTATGGTTATTACCAAGACTTTTTCTCTCCAGGTGTCAGAAACAAACCAGATTTTTTGCAGGGTGTATCTCATGTCTACAATAGGATTGGCTTCATGCTAGATGGCACTGCTGCCGGGTTTCAATATGTGATCACTTGTGACGACACAACAGAAAATTGCAAGCGTGGGGATCTCGCATATATGAACGCAGGCAAAAAAGTGATGAATATCTGCAGTGGATTTTTCAACAACCCTGATATCACCCCCACGGGTCAAAAAATGACAAATCGACCGGCCGACATTAGGGAGGCGCATCATGTTCGAGGAGCCATTTTGCTGCATGAGATGACTCACTCCAAATATGCAATGAGTGCATTTGGGGGTGCTAAGGCCTGGGATTATGCGTACGGAGCAGAAAGTTGCTTACAGCTTGCTGCAGATACTTTCAATAGAGGGTGCCAGAAGTATGCAAACAATAATGGGGGAGTACTGTGTCCAGACCCAAGCAATCCCAAGACTGATGGAAAATGTGACCCAGATTTTTCGTTGAAAAACTCTGATACATGGGCCTTGGTTGCTGCTGGGATTTTCTTCAGTGACTTATGGGGTGCCAAGATCCCTCTCGCGTCTCCTAGCCCTCCTGCATTGACTACTGATTGCGTACCGAATGATGACATTATGTTCGACAGTGGAAGTGGATATGAGATTGCGGATATGGTTTCATTCGGAGACTCCTTTGCCGCAGGCATGGGTACTGATTCTACGTCTACCGATAGCTGCCGGGTCGGTGGTAATAACTATGGCGGTCTGATTCAAAAGCATTATTCAGGAGCAGGGGACCCGGTGTCGATCGAGAAAAGGGTCTGCTCAGGTGATACCACATCCGGTCTTGAGAAACAAATCGAGGACTGGTCTAGTACCGGCTCTGCTAACCTGGCAACATTGACTATGGGAGGAAACGACCTTGCGTTCGCTGACATTGCGTGGAATTGTCTCTTGACACCAAATACTGCCCGTTGGGCATCAACTTATCGGCAGTGGTGTATAGAGTCCGAGGATAAAGCCCGCAAATTGATGAACGATGACGGGGAGGATGGCCTACGCCACAAGCTCAAAACTTTGTATAAAAGCATCATTGCCAAGGCCTACCTGCCTGATACAAAGCTCTTTATCACCGGTTACACAGGTTTCTTCAACCAAGATACCACTGACTGCGCCGACAGCAGCTTCCATTACCTCTGGGGTGGCTACAAACCCCCATCTGACTGGTTCCTCAACCGAATTGTTTACCTCACGACAGATCTACGCACAGAGCTCAATACCCTTGTCACTCAGTTGAACAATGTGATTGAAGATGCTGTCAGGGACGCCAATTCGGAGTTGGCGACAGCAAGTGTCTACTATGTCGATGTTCAACAGAAATTCGACACACACCGCTGGTGTGAACAAGGAATTCATGAGCCCGACGCCAAAGCTCCGAATACCTATTTCTTTTTGAGTGCATGGAATGATATTCCTCTGGGCAAAGATGAGGTGGCGGCGTCTGATTCTGATGACTCCGATGACGTCTCATTCTTGCAGCAAACAGGAATTATTCTCCCAGACGCGTCGAACTGCAAAGAGACACTGGGAGAAAACCCAGATCCATATCAAAATTGGCTGTGTCTTGCTGCGAGGGATATTGCGGATGAACCAAATGGAACCCTGGCTTGGTCCTACGGCAATGCAACTCAGGCTCTCAAAGATGGAGATTTTAACAGTCAAGAGATCAGTTACTGGTCCCCTACTCGACAAATCAAGGCGTTCCATCCACGCAGTCCTGGAATGGCTCTCTATCGTGATGCTATATTGGAGAAGATTGAATCTTCGTTTGACAAGTGAGATTGTGGCTTTTAAGTTTGTACATACAATACTAGTAGCATGGAAGTTGAAAGGGATCTACATTTACATATCCTAGTACTACGTCCATGGATGTGGTAATTAATTGATTTGAACACGTTAAACTTCAAATGTTCCATTGGAGTAAACTTGAATATCTCATCGAGACATGAATTCGAGATGTATATCTTGAATGGAGATAAATCCCTTGCAAGCACCTGGGCAATAAGTACCTTATACTAGTAGTAGACTGTTAATTCAATGTTGATGGTCAAAGAGTCGATTGCTTGGATGGTTGCATGCAGCGGCATGGGCTGCAGGAGCTGGTCATTTTCTGCGTGGTGAAAAGGCTGACTGCGCCTCGCGGTCTATAAAAGAGACTACGATCCCACCCAAATGGCAAAACCTCAAAACCAACCCTCCCAAATTCTCCCATCTTCCCCCTATCCACTGCCCCCTGCCCGCTGCCCGCTGCCCAAAGTCCAGATTCCAGTTTCACTATTTCTGCGAGTGTTTCCAATTCCCATATGCCTTGAAATCGCTCGGCTGCCTTTTCATCGCACAACATGTCAGCTGATAGTTTTCGCTTGGAATCTTTCCGGCCGTGAAATCCTTTTCAGGACAAAGCGCAGTCTCTGTGGGATTCTCTCGATATTTGTCGATATCCAACTCCCGTCTCGATCACCGCCACCTTGCCTCCCTCCAATTCTAGGATTTCGGCTTCAAAGCATCCAAATGCTTCTTCTCATAAACCTGAGCAACACCCCCTTCCTCCCCGACCGCCGATGGAGGTTTTCTTGAACGACAGCCCGCTAGAGGAGACAAACACTCAGCAGCATCCACCCAGTGAGGGGGATCAGCCGTTCGGCTTCGATGATATTTTGCAACTGCAGGATTTACCAAGCCCTGGAGGTGAGGACCATCTGAGTCCATGTGATGATCTAGGCCCGGAGTCTCCCCGCCCGCTCGGCTTTGAATCAGATGACCTATGGCTCGCTTGCACTGCCAGTCAGCACTCTGATGTCGTCAACACCACTGTACTAGTCTCTTCGGAAATGGTTGACCATTTCACACTTTTTGTCCGTGCACCCCATAGTAAAGAGTCCGGCTGACCGCAAGGACCTGACCCGCCATTACAGTCTACATCAATGCCCATGAGCTTTCCCACCATGCCCTCCTACCATCAATCTAATCACCATTATTAATCAATGTATGTTTCCCACATACTTGGATTTCGGGGATGACACAACTGAACCTGTTATTTTAAAATCACTCTATTCACTAGCACTTGCAGGGATCCGAAATCATCCGTAGCGATGGCGATAAAGGGTTGGAAAAAGCAATATGTCCTCCGTCGCTCGACACGCGACGCGTCGCGTTACTAGAAAGTGGTAGTACATATGGGGAGATCCTGGGCTCCCTCAAGCTCTCCTCATCAACTGCTGCCATTTTCACTCCTTTTCTGTTCGACGAGTTTGTAAGGATCCTGTTCATCCTTCAATGTCGCACTCTGCTCCCCATGCCTATCCAGTTTCCACCCGGGAATGGCCCTCGCTCCCCTTGTATCTCGATTGGGAGGAGCATGTTGCTATCTGCACGCTTTGCCGGTATGCGATACCCCCTATTGCGAGCAAGCACAGCACTCAATTCTGTCCCGCGATACAACTTGCTATAAAGCCGGAGCGCTTTCTCCTACCACACTCAACCAGAAGTGGGAACACTCGTTACCTCAGCGTAACTCAGACACAGGCATGGGCGGAATCCGTAAAAGTCTCGCGCCCTCGACGACCAAACTTTCGAAGCAGATTGCACCCTGCATTGTCCTTGTCGTCCTCCGAGTCTGAGGATACCCGCAGTCCGTCCAGGTCCGCTACAGGCGATACTGTTGTAATTCAGAGGTATAATCTTAATTATTCTTCCAGAGGGCATACGTGAGGCTATATATACAACATGCGCTCCAAGTTGGTTTCCAATCGACTTACTTCATATAACACCTCGGGAATTAATTCCGATGGTGCGGCTTTGTTCCTGATATGCACCAGCCTCATATCACAACAGTTAGCATTAATCTTCTAGATGTAGATAAGGCACAGTCCGTAGTCCGCAACCACTGGCTCATTGTCATCCGGCATGTAGAGCTGGGTAAACCCAAAGAAGTGGCAGTCAAAGTTGATGTCACTGTCTCCCATCTCGACCTGCCAGTCTCCAAGCGGGTCAACTCTCAGCTCACGGAGGAACTGAGGCACCCGACCGCATACTAACCCTGAGTTGGACTAATACCCGATGTATATAGGTCTCAACATACCAGATATTAGGCGGCCACTTTCAGCTTGCGACTTACCGTTCCAATAGATAGTAAATTTATAGGCCTAAAGACTTAGTGCGTAGAGTCCATTAGGGGCAAGAAATTCAGGAACATCGGGCTCTCTGCCCCACTATTCTCTTACATCCCTATTGGTCATTACCCCCCAATTTTGGCCCATAGGCCCCGCTCGGAAAAGAAGGAGGTTGAGCTTATTGGTAGATACTCAGCCTCCTTCTGGTCTCACTATCTTCGGGAGACCTTCGCCTTCAAAAGCCGGTTTTGCTGTTGGGTTGACGTCACAAGCCCTTATAAAGGAAAGAAAGGTACATGTGTGTAAGCAGAATGGAACGAGCAAGGCATATCTTCGGGTCCGTCACCTCCAGACACACCAAACTGAAGATCAGCTCAAAGTTCGGATGGATGTTTTCTTAGAACCCCTGATTGCGATTATTGCAGCCTTGGCCTGCTGCTTTACATCCAATCGCGAGCTCAGTCGACCGAAAAAATCTTCTCGAACGACCCAACCCACCGATACACCCAAAGGGAAAAATCCCCCCTAAAGCAACTGGAATGGCTACAGCGATTATAGGGTGATGTAAGTTTCGTATAGGTTTCATGCTTTTTAAAGGCATCAGCTGTCACCAGAACATAAGCTCACTGTATGAAGAACCCCTTGATCCAACGAGTGAACACCCGGAGAAAGTTGCAGCAATATTAGCCAGAATGTCATAGATCGCATTGAATACCTATCCCATGGGAGTGGTGAGCGCACCCTAGTAGGGTGCAATTAGGACCTTGGCTTACCTATGGGAGTGCTAAGTGGGGCCGTAAATAGGGTGGAATAACGTTTCGTACGAGAATCGACCTGAAAATTTGTATAGTTCTTTTCTTCTAAATACACCTCGAAGATTATGGTCATCGCATTTCAAAGCAATTGATCAAGCCATAAAGGTGTGGTGGTCGACCAAAGCTTGGGCATTATTTTTGATAGGGTGCGACCGTACAGGGGAGGATCTCGCACTCTCAGGATATATTCCCACCGCACATCCAATATATAGTCACCATTTGAGATCTATGACATCAATAAAGAGCAAGAGGTACAAAAGTACATACTTGGTAACATTTCATTCGTGCTCAAGCCGAGTCTAAGTGGAACCCGTACCGCGGCGAATGGGAAATGCTTGCGGCTGATGCAAAGCTGTGCCATGGAATTTCATTTATTAGAGAAGCTCGGGATGTCTGAGATCAAGTGGCAATACCGTTTTTGGCCTGACTGGCTCACCAGCACCCACAACTGCAAGCCAGCGTACATCGGCCCTCTTCCCAATTGCTGATCTACGATGGATAAATGGACCTTCTTTGGGTTTCTGTTTCCTTTTTGGTCTATAGATCTGTCTAGGGCCTATGGCTTCACGGTGAGTCACACGCTTACCGAGCTTTGTACACACACTCCAATCTCCGTAGTACGACCGACGATCCATGGCTCCAGCGTGGGGGCCAAAGTTAGAGAAGCCTGGCCAATCTTTAGGCGGTGATCGAAACGGTCGGGAGCTGCCGCAGCACGGTCATATTCGGTACAGCAACTTCAGGATTGTGGGGACTAGGCAAAGGCATTGAGAAGCTCCTACTATCCGCACTACCCGATACGCCGTACTGGCAAGAACTAAAAGTGAATTATTTGGGTCCGTCCATCGTTTGGTTGTACCCTGAGAAAGATATTTGGTCGCTAGTGCGTAGCCGGGGCAAATTCCGATATCCCCGATAGGCTAAACCATCAACAGCTCTGGCGGCTGGATGTGGATTTTGCGAGATTTTTCTAGATCATTTCCTACAATGGTTACATAGATCCTAGCGGTTCCCTAGGGATGTGATCTTGCGCAGTAGTGTAGCATCGGGGCAGATTGGATGTGTTGTGATATGAAACTGATGCAGATCAGGAATTAAGCCGCATCATCCTGAATTATTTCCCGCATTGTCTATACTAAGAACCAAGTTGATTGAAAACCAACTTGGTCTTATCGTTGTACATAGAGCCTCAGTTATTCCCTCTAAAAAGCCACGGACAATCAATCTTCCTTTGAACTACAACAAAATGGATTGGCAGAGCAGGGATTCCTAGTCAGAAATTGATGGCTGGCGTCGCCTTTTTTGACCATCAACATTCCTACCAATTGACTTGAGTTGTTACGAGCGATATATATTTGAAAATCCAGACATCCTATCTCGTTCCAAGGACAATCCTCGCAACAGCATATTGGCTGTATTGACTCTTCCGTTCAAACCTACTTCATGAAGTGCATTAGCTGGGAATTGATCAGATAAGAGCTAATTGCATGCCAATTGTTAAGGTTGGAAAGGAGCTTTCCGAACATTCAAGAGCGAGCGACTTTTGATCGGACCTTACGACAAAAGAATCACTAACAACTCAGGTAAACATGTAATTCTACAACCCGAAACAATTCTCATGCGGAGACTGGAGTTGGACTAGCTTTGTTTAGGATAACTACTCTGGATTGGCACTGACCAGTGGAATCAGGGGTATAATGGTATAGGTATGGACTCTCATCGAAATAATAGCAGACCATTCGGCAAAATATCTCATCACATGTTGAACAACATAGCCTAATATGCACACGACGAAATACAGCCACGGTAGTGGTCAAATCCCTCTAGTGATTGAGCATAGCAGATAATCCCA